AACAAAGGTCCTCAAAATTATTTCACTGATTTCAGAGCTGTGTTCAACATTGCAAAGGTCTCCCTAAAATTAATTATAAGGCTTAAAGAGGAATGTTTTTGAACAGTCCTCTAATTCATCCCCTCTTTTTAACTCCCCTTCCCTATATAAATAAAATCAAAGGAAGAATTAAAGTAGAAAAAGAACTCTCATAGAGGGAACCAGAAGTGTTTGCATGGTAGCAACTGGTTAAATGTGAACAGGAATGTTTAAGTTGACTGGCAAAATTCACAGCAAAGTAGTCAGGGGTCGCTCTTGCGAAACAGGGAAGAATCAAACACCTCCACCCCGATTTAGACCCGGCTGCCCCCAAACCTCCACCAAAGCCCATGTAAGGAGTTAAGTCCTTAAACACTGACCAAAAACTGTTCTCTGGGAAAAAAAATAAAATAGAGATTATAATAAATAAAATAAAGTTGACTGGCAAAGCCACCTCTTCTCCCTCTTGGTGCTTCCCTCAGCCAATTTATCAGTGCCAGCAACATGCTTGTGACACAGTCAAAACTGCCAAATGCAGAGATGTAGGCTTTAGAAAGTGATATCCAAGTTGTTTATTTGAGAATAACAAGGAGCTGTGATAAAAATAAAAATTCCATTTGTCCTGAAGAAAATGTAAAAATTTCCGGATCCTTCTAAAATCCTTTTCCCTAAAAGTCTCCTTTATGGTTAAAGTACTTGATATTTCTATTAAACCATTATTATTAATGTAACACCTATGTCGTATAAGATGTTCTTCATGAAAGTAAGCTCCTATCCTGGATGACTGGGAGTCAACAAAACTCTGAATTATTCAAGTGGTTTGAACAGGGCTAATTGTTTTCTGAACCCTATATATTTTAATAAGGAAAATTACTAGTCACTTTTTTTTTTTTAAATAAGAGATTATTGCTTTCTTTGTTTTCCATTCCAGGTCAACAAAAAAGTACCATTTTCTGAGTCATTCCATTGAGGATGTCAATCTCATTAGTTCCAAAACTCAATTTGCCCCCACTGGAAATGAGGGGGAAAGAAACAGCTTAGAAAAGCCATGTGAACCAATTACTAGTAATGGAATTGAAATGGTAATCAAAACTCCCAACAAACAAAAGTCCAGGACCAGATGGCTTCACAAGTGAATTCTACCAAACATTTAAAGAACAGTTAATACCTAGTTTTCTCAAACTATTCCAAAATGTAGAAGAGAAAGGAAAACTTCTAATTTCATTCTACAAGGTGAGCATAACCCTACAATACCAAAACCAAAGATATTACAAAACAAAACACTTCAGGGGCACCTGGGCTCAGTCAGTTAAGCATCCAGCTCTTGATTTCGGCTCAGGTCAAGATCTCAGGATCATGAGATCAAGCCCTACATTGGGCTCTGTGCTCCGCGGAGAGTCTGCATGAGATTCGCAATGTCTCCCTCTCCCTCTGCTCCTACCCTGACTCACTCTCTCTCTCTCTCTCAAATAAATCTTAAACAAACAAACTACAGGCCAACATCCCTGTGAATACAGATGCAAAAACCCTCAACAAAATATCAGCAAACCAAATTCAACAATACATTAATAGGATCATTCATCATGATCAAGTGGGATTTATTTCAGGGATGCAAAGGTGGTTCAATATCTACGAATCAATGTGCTGTACCATATTAACAAGAGGAAGGATAAAAACTATACAATCATCTCAATAGATGCAGAAAAAGCATTTGACAAAATAGGGCATCTGTTCATCATAAAAACTCAACAAAGTGGGTATAGAATGAACATAATTCAACATAATAAAGGCCATATATAACAAATCCACAGCTAACATCATACTCAATAGTAAAAAGCTGAAAGCCTTTCCTCTAAGATCAGGAACAAGACAAGGACGTCCACTCTCACCACTTTTATTCAACATAGTACTGGAAGTCCTAGCTGCAACAATCAGATGAGAAATAAAGGCATTCAAATTGGTAAAGAAGTAAAACTGGCACTATTACCAGATGACAGGATATTATATACAGAATATCCTAAAGACCCCAGCAAAAAAACTATTACAACTAAGAAATGAATTCAGTAGGGGTGCCTGGGTGGCTCAGGTCATGATCCGGGGGTCCTGGGATCGAGCCCCGCATCAGGCTCCCTGCTCCGCGGGAAGCCTGCTTCTCCCTCCCCGACTCCCCCTGCTTGTGTTCCCTCTCTCGCTGTGTCTCTCTCTGTCAAATAAATAAAATCTTTAAAAAAAATGAATTCAGTAAAGTCGCAGGATACAAAATTAATACACAGAAATATGTTGTGTTTCTATACACTAAAATAAAGTAACAGAAAGGGAAATTAAGAAAACAATCCCACTTAAAATTCCACCAAAAAGAGTAAAATATCTAGGAATAAATTTAAGCAATGAGGTGAAAGACCTGTACTCTGAAAACTACAAGACATTGATAAAACAAATTGAAGATGACACAAATGGAAAGATTCACCAATGCTCATGGGTTGGAAGAATTAATATTGTTAAAATGTCCATACTATCCAAAGCAGTCTATAGATTCAATGAAATTCCTAACCTAACCCTTTGAATCTGTATTTCTGTATCCTTTAGGTAAGTAACTAGTAGTGCAACTGCTGGGTCTTAAGGGAGTTCTATTTTTAACTTTTTGAGGAACCCCCATACTGTTTTCCAGAGTGGCTACACCAGTTTGCATTCCCACCAACAGTGCAAGAGGGTTCCCCTTTCTCCACCTCCTTGCCAACACCTCTTATTTCCTGTGTTGTTAATTTTAGCCATTCTGACTGGTGTGAGGTGATTATCTCCTTGTAGTTTTGATTTGTACTTCCCTGATGATGGTATTGGCACAAACATAGACACATAGTTCAATGGAACAGAACAGAAAACCCAGAAATGAACCCACAACTATATGGTCAATTTATCTTCAACAAAGCAGGAAAGAATATCCAATGGAAAAAAGACTGTCTCTTCAACAAATGGTGTTGGGAAAACTGGAGAGCCAACATGCAAAAGAATGAAACTGGGCCACTTTCTTACACTATACACAAAAACAAACTCAAAATGATTTAAAGACCTAAATGTGAGATCTGAAACCATAAAACTCCTAGAAGAAAATATAGGAAGTAATCTCTTGGACATCTGGCCTTAGTAACATAGTTATGGATATAACTCAGGCAAGGGAAGCAAAAGCAAAATAAACTACCCGGACTATACCAAAATAAAAATGTTTCTTTTTTTTTAAGATTTTATTTATTTATTCATGAAAGAGAGAGAGAGGCAGAGGGAGAAGCAGGTGTGGGACTCAATCCCAGGACCATGGGACCATGACCTGAGCCAAAGGCAGATGCCTAACCAACTGAGCCACCAGGTGCCCCCCCCCACAAAATAAAAAGCTTTTGCACAGCAAAGGAAAACATCAACAAAACAAAAAGGCAACCTACAGAAAGGGATAAGATATTTATAAATGATATATCTGATAAGAGGTTAACATCCAAAATATATAAAGGACTTCTAAAACTGAAAACAAAAAAATTCTGATTAAAAATGACAGAGAACCTGAATAGACATTTTTCCAAATATGTAGAGATGACCAACAGACACACGAAAAGATGCTCCATGTGAGTAATCATCAGTGAAATACAAATCAAAATCACAGTGAGCTATCACCTCATATCAGTGAGAATGGCAAGTATCGAAGACAAGAAACAAGTGTTTATGACGATGTGGAGAAAAGAGAACCCTTGTGCTCTGTTTGTGGGAATATGGACTGGTGCAACCACTGTAGAAAACAGTATGGTGATTCCTCAAAAAACTAAAAATAGAAATGCCATATGATCTAGTATTTCCACTACTGGGCATTTACCCCAAGAAAATGAAAACACTAATTCAAAAAGATATATGCTCCCCTAGGTTTATTGCAGAATTATTTATAATAGACCAGATATGGAAGCAGCCCAAGTGTGTATAGATAGATGAAAGGATAATGAAAAAGTGATAAATACACACACACACACACACACACTATACTATTACTTAGTCGTAAAAAAGAATGACATCTTGCCATTTGTGACAACCCAGATGAACCTACAGGATATTATGCCAAGAGAAATAAGTCAGAGAAAGACAAATACCATATGATTTCACTTATATGTGGAATCTAAAAAGCAAAACAAACAAATGAACAGACTCTTAAATACAGACAACAAACTGATGGTTTCAGAGTGGAGGTGGGAGGGAAGATGGGCAAAATAGGTGAAAAGGGATTAAGAGGTGCAAACTTCCAGTTATCAAATAAACAGATCATGGAGATGCAAAGTACAGCATAGGGAATATAATCAACAATACTATAATAACATTCTATGGTGACAAATGGTAACTCCACTTACCAGTGGTAAGCATCCCATAATGTATAGAATTGTCAAATCACTGTTGTACACCTGACACTAACGTAACACTGTATGTCACCTATAATAAATAGTTTCTTAAAAGCCATATGAATTTCTAAATTATTCTTGAGGATGTGAAGTTTAGAATTTTTAAAATTTAGATATAAGTGTATCCTATTTTTCTCTTATGAAAATGAACTTGACATAAAATGAGGAAAAGATAGGTTTGAGGACTGATTACACCTACTTCTGCAAAGAAGCAAAGTGAGAAGTCCCTGTGGAGTCAGTTTAAGAAAGAAGTCTCGAAATTCTAATCTTCACTACCTAAGTAGAGAATGTCTTCAGCCAAAAGCCACACAAACACGCCCAGTTCATAAAGTACAAACAGTACTCCTATTGTATCATGCGCTTAATACACATCAGGGCTTGTGTATATGTGTCTCTCTTTCTCAGTCTGGCACAATGGCCATTAAGATACCAGCGTAGGCTGTTCTTCATTTTACTGACTTTATATACCATAGAACAATCTCAAAATTGGGAGAATCTTGCTTAATCTACCGGAGACCACAATTTCAACTCAACATCAAGTCTGTGGTTTCTCACCTGAGCTGGACTTCCGAGAATCTGTGTTCTAGAGTTGGAAGGAAGACCTGACACTGAGAACACCTAATGATAAAAAAGAAGAAAGAGAAAATGTTAAGCCGCCAGGAGGGAGGGAGTCAGATATGGGGAGAGAGGACAGGCGATAACGAAACTGGCTGCCGGGGTGTCGAAGATGATAACCGCCGGAGAAATGTGGCCAGGCTGTCAGGAAGTACTGATCTCTCAGACAAAAATATCACTCATCAACCAGACTTCAGAATTAGAAGGGCCTGATACCTACTAAACAGAACACGTTCTCGGCCCATTGCTGAGGCTTAACCAGCTTTCCCACCTCTTTGGCTGCTGACATGTCAGGGGCACTAAGTCCTACTTCTATACAGCTTGGTCTTTGCTCCTCTCAGTTTTCATACAGAGAACTTCCTCTGGTTTCCTCCTGATCAGAGGTATATAGGAGCGGGTTTCCCTTTGGGAGAACTGACCTGGCCTCCCGACCTGACACATCAATCCCAGAATACAACTACAAGCTCTGTGAACGATTTCAGAGACCCTTTATATTGAAGTAAGACAGTCTATTAAACCACCTTATACCCACTGATGGCTCAGAAAAAATGTTTCGCCCTCGTACTTGCTTGAGTAATTAAATGTGAAGAATGATTATTATTAGACTACATTCAACTCATTTATTCCAATGACACATATTGGCCTCTTGGATGTAGCCTGGCCTTAACAATTTGAGTACATATTTTCCTCAACATGTCTTTTCTTAAAGCAAAGAAAAGTTGTATGTACAGACAAACGCTTACTACAAGATTCTCTGGCTGTATATATGCCTCCTTTTGCCCTTTGGAGCCTGTTAAAATCTTAATAATTAACTTGTAGTCTTCTCCTTTCATTACCTAGGAGTTTTAACAGACACTTGATCATTAGTGATAGATGGGACCAAAACAAACAAAAATAACCCATCCCAGATGACCTACTAGCAATAAGCACAAAGAAAAGACCCTAAGTTCCCAAATTTAAGTTTTTACTGGAAATTGTGACCCTTACATTAAAAAAAATGTAAGTTATTCTAGACTTACATTAAAAGTGGAAGAGGAATTAGACAATAAATATATTTTTATTATTCTCAGCCAAATGTTTTAATATTCCATTCTGATATTATTATAGTTTATAATACAAACAATGTTGCATTTTACCCATGATATTCCTGATACCTGAAGGGCTGTTCTTTGTATCTCCATGGGCCAATAAATGTTAATTGTTCAATATATGTTTGTTAAATTATCAAAAGAATAAATGTCATCTGACGAGTGAGACAACAAGGGTCAATGTTTTCCAAATTCTTATATTCTGCACATCCACACGCTCCCTGCCTTCTTTTCCAAAATATTTTATTCAAACCAGAAACTCAGATGACAAAGATGACAACAATACTAGGGCAAAATGCTTCCCTTTTGCCTCAAACACTCAACTCTTGAAGATGTCACTCCCCTTCCTCCTTATTCGGGCACAAGTAAAGAGATTCCAAGAAGACACTGTACTCTCAACAAACCAACATCCAACTTTCAACCCTATAGAACTACTAAACTATCTCATTCCAAAGCTAAATAAGTGAACTTAAAGCATCCATACTTCACCCAAAGCGGGCCAGCATACTGCTGCAGTAAGTGACGCTCTTTTTCATAAATTCAGAGTTTCTCATTTTGTGATTATGCTATGTGTATAAAAAGCAGCTTTCAGGGAAGGGAAGAATCAGAAGACAGAACAGTCTTCCAGTAGTGCCTTCCAGACAACAAGAAAACTTGAGACTTTTAAGCTCACAGAAAGGGTATATACCTGTCAGCAGACATTTGTATTTGTGTACATGGAGAGAAGGCAAGGAATAAAGAGGTCTCTGACTCCACAGCACCCACCCAAAAGATGCTACTTTATGGATACCATTCTCTAGCCTCTCACCTTCACTTCCCTGAGTCAAAACTGAAATAAAGCTGCTTAGTAGTTGCTCTATAGAGTAATCCAAGGAACCACTGCTGAGATCCTAACAGTAAAGACTGGATTCATACCAAACTTCCCCATTCACTAACAAGAAGTGCTGCCAGGCTGCCCAGAAATTCCCCTCCCGAGTCCCACAGCCATCCCGGAAACATTAGACACCAAGTATGCTGCAATCGTGGCCTTTTTGGTATTGGATCCAAAATAAACTGTGCCTAGCCTAAGACTGTAAATGAAGTATTTTCCGATGAAAAACTAAACAGCCAAAGAAGTTCTGAGGTTTCATTTACCCAACACAGCTGTCACTAGACATACCTAGTATAGAGATAGGTGCCAACCTTATTTAATGGTAAAAATAAACACCCAGTAGAAAGCCTCTAATCATATGGAATTATACTATACCTTCAGGTCAACATTACTGCCATGGATGGAAAACAAGGCCCTAAGGGTTCTTCCACAATAGGCTCCAGATTCTGAGCAAAGATTAAATAAGTAGTAATGTCAGAATTCTTTAGTTTGGAATCTTTAGGGGAAGGAAGGCACAGGTAAGTAATACAAACTCCTACACGCCAAGAACTGTTCTAAGCACCTTATGTGTATGGTTACTTTGTACTCACCAACAACCCTGTAAGACTGATATTATCAATCCCCATTTTAAGTACCCAGAAACAAAAGAACCAAGAGGCTAAGCACCTTGCTCGAAGGGTTAACACAGCCAAGAAGTGGTGCAAACTGGTAGGCCTTCGATTTCACAGGAGTCAAGGTAAACAGTGCCCCCGGTTTCACCAATATTCACTAAAATTAATGGCCAGCAAAAGTTTCTGGAAGCCTATCTGCCCTTGCCTCTCCTTCCACAGAATTTTCTTTTTGTTTTCCACCTTAAAGATATGCCACGTTCCTTTAACTTCACAGCACTCCTCTGAAGGCAATGCATAGGAAAACTTGAGCCCAGGTTTCTCAACTTCTCCCTTAAGGAAGCTCTCTGAAATCCTCGGATACATGAAGTGGGGTATTGGGGGTAATCAAAAGTGGAAACGAATCCAAAGACAGAATATCAAAATACAAGCGACATTTTTTAAAGGTAGGATTACAGGGACACCCAACAGTCGGAGAGCATCCATCCCACTTACACACCCTGTGCTACAGTGCCCCCTGTAATAGTACCTGGAGCCTGGCAGGCGCACAAACAGCCCTAAAACCAATCTACACACGAGTACTCAGCGGCCTCCCCAGGCCCTGCACTGCAAAGCGCTCCACGGACGTCGGCTGCACTAAAGTGAACTTTATTGTTGGAGAGGGGCGGCGGGAGGCCAAGGGCGCGGGCGCGGGCCCAGAGCTCTGCAGATAAGGAGGAGGCTGCCGGGACCTTGCCCTGTGCCGGTCGCCTCCTCCGCGGCGTGAAGCCGGTTAGCGCACCCTCGGTCACGGGATCCGGCGGGGCGGCAGGTCCAGCCAGGGGTTCGGCCATTTCTCCTAGGCCTCGGCGGGGAAGGGACCAAGCCCCCACAACCTCAGGCGTCCGCTTCCCGCCCCCCCCACCCCCGGTCTCCGTCTTCCTTCGAAGAATGCGGCTCCGTCCTGCCCCCGCGCCTTAGGCCCTCCCGGCCCGCACCGCCCCTCGCTGTTCCGCACGACGCCCCGCGCGCCCCACGCTGTCCCCGGCGCCTGCTCCCTCGCCCACCCTTTAGCCGCCCTGCGCCCTCCCGGCCCGCCTAGGGAAGGCGGCGCGGTCGCGTGACCCCTGACCTCGCCTGCCCGTCGCCTTACCGGCTCCGCAACCACCTGACAAGATGCCCTCGCGCTGGCAGCTCCATATCCCGGGAGCTAGCGCCAAGCGGGCCAACCCCCACACGCCCCGCGATTGGCCAACAGGACGGCAGTTGCACATTCCCATTGGCTGGATTCCTCGTATTCCCCGTAGTAGCGGGCGCGCGTGGCCAGCTGACGGCGTCCCGAGGCTCCGCCCGCCCCCGGGTCAGGCTGGAGGCGGGGCCACGGCGGCCTCGGCGGGAGGTGCCTCCAGTGGAGCCCGTGGCTTGCGCAGGTCCTACTCGCTGAGTGCGGATTCGGAAGTTGACACGGCGCGGGCGCTCCCGGGACACTCAAATTTCCTACTGTAGTTAGCCGCTGCCTCACATTAGATACTGGCAGTCGAGCCCCTTTTTTTCTGTAGACATTGCTCTACGAGGTACGGCTCCACTATATAAAGTTTAGCCAACCTGACAGGACCGTCTCCTCTCGTCCCCAGAGTCACATCATAGTATCTGCAGCCTCACCAAAAGCAATACCACACCTGGGAGGTACGGCGGAACATCAGCTAGTGCGGCCAGTTCCACCACATCAGGTGCCCTACTCCCATCCTGTCTGTCTCGCTTCTTCCCCCAGGCTTTATCTCTATCTACCTAAAAGTAAACCCACTCCAGCCCACCCTCAACCTCACGCTCCAGTCTTTCCCTGAAGATAATGGCCAGACTAGTAGCGCTTTAGAGGGAAGAAAAATGGTCTGACAAGCCACCCTCACTTTCTGCAATGTCCCTTAGAACATCCAGAAACATTCTTAGACACCCCCCCTACAGCTTACATTAAAGATAACCGAGCTTATTTGACCAAATTGTAGACCTAGAAAGGAAAAGCATCAACCCCTCCAACTTCTTTCTTCATGTAAAAACTGGTAGGAGAAAATTTTATTAGATAGTAAAAAGAGTCCAAGAGAGGATGATAGGAGAGTGAACTGCAAAAAGAAAAATCCAAATCAAGTACAAAGTAAAAAACTCAGGGACAAAAAAAGTGGGGCCGAGCATCCTCAGTTATCTGATACAGGCTGGTTTCCATACAGAATTTCTCCTGGAGAGAAAAAAAAAACACACACACAATAATTAGTTCTGACAATCTCTCAACAAAACACCTGGGTAGTTTCAGCAAGACTTGATGAAGTCCCTCCAGACCAGAACCTTTCCTTTGGGAACGTCTGCTGCAACTAGAAAGTAAAATGGCTGGAGCCATTCTTGTCACCCTGCCAGGTCTGCTCAGCTGAGCAATCTCCTTGGGCTTTTGCTGGCTACTTACTGAGCTCACAGTGTGGAGCTTCCTCCATCTTACGTTGCTTCTTCATTGGGCCGACTGGATTTGACTTTTCCCAGTGTCGGCTCCTGCCTCTATATATGCAGACAAGTGCGCCTCCCTTGGTTAGATAAGGGCACTTTGGGCTGCCCTGAGCAACACCACATTGGTAAAGACACTGCGGGGAGTTTCAAGAGGCAAGCCACACCCTTCAAGGCCTGATCAAATTTCATCTTTGACCTGCCATGAAAAGGGAAGCCTGATATATCGGCCACTCCTGGATATTAAAGAACAGTTAATTGAGTCAGAAAACTTTTATTCTAAGATTTCATTTTTGATCTGTTTGGCAGGACCTGGAGGCCAGCCTGTGAGTGCCAGTGGATGAAAGGGGTGGAGTAAAAGGAATTGCGTTCCTTCAGGATGCCGCTCCCCTTAGTGTGAAACCAGTCAGGGCACTTGTACCAGGCCAGCATGTGTGCTAGGACTCTGCTCCCCTAAGGTGTGAGCTGAAACCAATTAACCCCAAGCCCGACAGTCTACTAGTATTTTCCATAGGTGCGTGCAGCACTGATGCAATTATGAGGAGTCCCAGCGTGCGGGTAAAAATACCGCCTAGTCCATTCCTTGGGATCTGAGGGACCTGCTGGCATCAGCCTGGTTAATCAGTGATCCATAGGCCGACCACAAAGCCGTGCAAACCCAGGACTGGGGTGCCTGAAAAAAAAAAAAAAAAAAAAAAAAAAAAAAAAACAACCTGAGACTGTAGAAAAACAAATCCAGAGCAAGTCCAGAATTTCCCAATCTGGGAGGAGGGGAACTGAAAGATTGCGGAAATGATGCCTCTGGCAAATAGTTTAGTAGGCCAGCTGGAGGCACAGGTGGAAAGGAGACAGAAGGGGGAGGTGAGGAGAAGGAGGTGGGATACTGGGAGCAAGAAGTGGCTGCCTTCGGAAAGTTTCGTGATAGTTTTAAAGAAAATGTGCTTAATACCATAAGAAACATATGCAAATGTGTATGATAGAAATAATCTTCGAATGGAAAAGAAAGAAAAGACTAATAGATTTATATTAGTCAAAGTAGGCTTCTAGCAAGTGGCTCTGCTTCCTACTCAGAACAGTCATAGTGTCAGTGGAAGGATCTATGATCTCCTGCCCTGGACCCAGATGAAGATCTCTGCGCTAAAAGTCCTATCATTACAACCTGACCTGCTCCCTGTCCTTGTTCTACCTCAGACAACGTCCCTAATATAGAGCTGCCTTAGATGGTGTTGGCCACCAATTTTCTGCTTCACAGGAAAATAGAAGTTCATATGAAATCATCCACGAACTAAAATGTTGGAGGAAAAAGCCCTGTTTGAGGAATTCCAAAAATAGGAATGGATTTTACAATGAGACTCTACATATCTCCTGTTTCCTTTACTCAGCAGTTTGTCCCAACATTACACACTCCACTCATATACACTCCAGGTCTGCAATTCCTACTGACAACATTAATGAAATTCTTATTATGTGTCTGTATCAAACACCATATTTAAGGTCACAAACATGAATTATCCTCACAAGAGATTTGTAAGGCAGGAACTATATTTTGCAATTTAGGAACCTAGGTCTTAGGGAGGTTTCTTGCCTAAGTACATACATCTAGTTAGTGGCAGAGCCAGTCTTTGAACACAGATCTGCTCTTCAAGAACCAGCACTCAACCACCATACCGTACTGCCTCTATTGTGTACGTCTAAAACAATTCCCTTTCATTCAAATCTAGCTCAAAAATGATCTTTCGTAACATCCTATTGTAAGTTCCCTGAACATTCCATATTACCACCCTAGCCAACTCATTTCTGTGTAGATGTTAATATGTATTTGCATCATGTGTGCCCTTTATTGAAATAGAAGACTTTTCTTTCCATACTTACCTTCTACTCACTCTCCAAGTATTCTTTTTGGTGCTTTTGTTTTCCCTGAAACAGCTGCCTGGAATTTAACTCCTCCCACCCCTCCCCTTCCTTACCTGGAAAACATCATCATCATTATTATTATTATTTAAGCTTCCCTTGAAATATACCCCCCTGACTCCTCCAGGCAGTGTTAGCCCTACATTTTGTCTTCTACCCAAGGACCTCTTATTCTACTCTACCACTGGCTCATTCTGTGTATATTTGAGAGCCTACTATGTGCTGGGCATACACGGGGTGGTACAGATACAGCAACAAATAAGATAAGCATAGCCCCTTACCGGGTTATTGTTTTTGTACATTCTTCTTCTCCCACTAAATTGTAAGCTTCTCAATAGGGGTGATTATCTTATCTTTGTACATCTGCTGCTAACAAAGGCCAGATATATGGGAGGTGTTTCATAAATGTATTAGCCCACTTTTTAATATGTTATGGCTGACATGTTGCCTGACAGGGCATTACAAAGTAATAATTAGGATATATCTGTTTCTATTTATGTATCTATTTCCAAAGTTGAGTCTTACCAATCCTAAAAATATTCCTCCCTTGACTTCTGCTAGCCTTGTAAGGCTATTCCTGTGATAAACGCTGGAATGCACAGGCAGGACCTCCTTTGAGAATGAAGGACTTAGGACCCCAGCTGTTTGAAGTGGGAATGCTGATGGCAGATGGCCCTCAGCTGTCCTGTCATGCGCCTTTCTCAGGCAGCCCACGATGAATGACTGATTTACGTGGGAGTATAAAGATTCAGCCTTCTCATCCCAACCAAGGACAGCTCTGAAGGTTGGCTGAGCCTTTGTCCTATGTCACAGCCCAACTTCTCCTTCTGTGCAGATTTGCTTCCTTCCCTTCCCTTACTGGTGATCTCAAGATCACTTCCTAATAAACCCACTGCCTCCATCTGAGTGGGCTTCCCTTCTTAATTCTTCCTGTAACCCAAAATCAGTGTTTCTGAAAAAGTGATCTGCACTCACTCTGCTTCCTGAACATTCTTTTTCCACTCTTTGTGATCCACCCTGGAAATTACTTTCTTGTTAGCTAAGTGATATCGTCATTGGCCATCTATGGTCAGAACCCACAAACTCTTCAGCTCTTGCCACATTCGAAATGTTGTACCACTCCTCTTCCAGCTCTTTCTTTCTTTGGATTCCATCATGCTCTGTTCGCTGGGTAGTTCTCTGTTTTGTTTTGTTTAAAGATTTATTTGAGAGAGAGAGAGAAGAAAAGAGCATGAGCAGGAGAGGCAGAGGGAGAGGGAGAGAGAACCTCAAGCAGGCTCTGCACAGAGCCTGACACAGGACTGGATCTCACAACCCTGAGATCATGACCTGAGCCAAAACCAAGAGTCAAACGCTTAACTGACTGCGCCAGCCAGGCACCCCTAGTTCTCCTATTTGGACTGCTCTTCCTCGACTTTCTTCAATTGCTATTTTTCTTCTCTTTCCTCCTACTCCTTAAATGTAGGCATTCCTTAGGTTCAGTCCTTAGTCCTCTAACTCTACCTAATCTCAGCAACTTCAGTGTAATAGTACCAGGACCCACCCAGCATTAGAGACATTTGTGGGACAGGTTGGAATAATGGGAAGAACAACCTCTTAAGAGTAAAGTAGACCTGGGTTCCAGGTCTAACCAGCTGGGAAACCATGGGTATGTTATTAAATCTTTGTGTTTCATTTCTTTATCTGAACTGGGTATGATACCAACCTCATAAGGATGCTCCCTCCATGTTTTTGTTCCCCAAATGTACCAGTGTTCTTTCTTGCCTGCCCATCTTTTCACATGCTGTGCTTCTGTTGGAACATTCTTGGTTTATGCATCCTTCACCTGGCTAACTC